ACATTGCTGCAATTAAATAAGAAGCAAAAGTAAATTAGGATTTAATATAGTTAATATTTAGAATTATTGTAGGACACGCCACTGGAAAAAATTACATGTTTGGCCATTTTAATATCATTAATTGCTTAAATATCAATGAAAAGCATAAAATAAACAAACTTGGTGGGTAAAATTTATTACTATGGAGTGAGACACGTACAATATGTAAATACCAAGTTGTATAACACCAAATAAAATGAAAATATAAGAAACTATATAAAGTGAAAACGATTGATGTTTATCATTTACCTGTAAAACGTAATATCTGCTTATTTCTTGCCGCTATAACTTTAACACTGATATGCTACACAATAAACCATTGTAATAACCCAATTATTAAATGTCGTTTAATTCAAAAATCAGAAATAAACAAAAACTGGCACCAAAATAATGGCGGCCAATAGATAATCGGCATAGAATACTACGTGTGCTCAATATACTTGTTACGCGTCCTCTCTTTATTACCTAGTCTAAGTGTGCAACAAATAAAATCCAATCTTAGTGTAACCTCGAAAATACCTGTTAGGGTCGTTGCTCACGAACATTTTTTAGCAGTCGCGTTAACGTCTACAATAATTATTTCAATATAATTATTCCAACAAAGTATGAAAACTTTTGTAATTAATGTGAATTGATTATTTCTAATGACTGGCCTATTTGTGATCCTCACCATTTGAACTCTCTTTTTAAATGGCTTTCAAGTAAAGTCAGAAAAGCATCATAAAGGCCAACATTTTTTAATTTAAATAGCAATAAAGTGTAATTAACATGGTGAAAAGTTTTGCTAAAATCTGAATATATTGTGTCAACTTGCATATATTTTAATAAGATTTTTTTGGTATAGCATCAGATCGGTAACTGTAGATCTATCCGCAGTAAAACCATGTTGTTGATTAATAATATTACTGCAATACCTAGAGACGATTAAAACAAATTTCAAAAAGATATACTGTAATTCTTTATATCACATCTATCGCCTAATTATATACGTGATCTTTAAAATTTATTAAATTCCTTATATTAAGGAGGTCCTTTCGCCACCATGTTAAATAAAAAATATTAGATTATGACTAAAATTAATTTTTTTCTAATAGTAGATGTCCTTATTTATCTAATAGTGAACTTTTAACTTAACCTTACCGTGCAAATTTTTGAGAACATTTTTTTTTTAAAATGTGTGTGTTTGTACAGTGTCTTATAAGAAAGTAAGACTTCAACAACAATTTCGAATTATAATTAATTTTACTATTATTTATTGATTAGATGGAGTAGAAAAAAACTAAAAATAAGGTTTTTGAAATATTTAGGTTTTGTTTTTTTACAATAAAATATATAGGTTACCGTGGAATTTATTGAGAAATTATTATTAAAAAATCACAAAAAATTTTCAACTAGGTTACTTGAAAATTTTTTGTGATTTTTTAATATTAATTTCTCAATAAGTTCCACGGTTTACTATATATATTTTATTGTATAAAACAATATCTAAATATTTCAGAAACCTTATTTTTAGTTTTTTTTCTACTTCATCTAATCAATAAATAATAGTATAATTCGAGAATTGTTGTTGAGGACTTACTTTCTCGTGAGGCACTGTACAAATACTCACATTTTAAAAAAAAAAAATTCTCAAAAATTTGCAAGGTAAGGTATAGTTAAAAGTTCAGTATTAGATAAATAAGGACTTCAACTATTAGAAAAAAATTAATTTTAGTCATAATCTAATAACTTTTTTTTTAACATTTGAGGCGAGAGGTGTGGCGAAAGGACCTCCTTAATATACTTTCATATTTGTATCTTTAAATTTCACGATTTACCTAAAATACACAGAAATTGTTCAGATTACAAGTTTTTCGTTCTCTAGGATCCCAGTAAATCGCCGTTATAGGTAAATTAGGGTATCCAACCTTGGACCTGTCCAATATTTTCGAAAAATCCAACCCCTAATCGCGGCTAATAGCTGACTCCGGGCGGCGAAAGCTTTGCAAAAGCTCACTCAACGGGGGTGCTGACGAATTTACGCTTTGCTTCCACTTTGTTTACGATCATTATACCTCCCCGAAGTGTCAACGAGAGTCAATGCCGCAAATATTTCTCGATTACAACACGTGCACAAATTTGACGAGGACTGTTTTAATTTTAAATATAGGTTTTATTACGTGAAATGTGATTCTTAAAATTATGTAGTAACTCAGAGTAGGTAAAAAATTAATAGATTGATATAGCCGAAGAAAATTGTGTTTTATAAAGTGAGTAAAATTATTATTTTTATGAGTCTAAATGAGTTTTCTTTTTAAATTAAAACAGTACCGTTTTTTTAGTTAATACATTTAATATGGTGTGTATACAAAATAACGCATAAATTTATTATTTTTGTAAATAGACATTCTGCATCTTTTGCGTTTTTTGTCCCACGCCTTTATAAAACGTAATCGATTATTTTTTAAGGAACATGCTGTATATAATTTCTAAATTTCATATGAAAATCTGTTTTCAAAAATCAAAGACACGTGTCTTCTTTTTTCAGAAATATTGCATTTATACATTACTTTCGTGTACACAATCTATAGTGTGGGCTAAAAAGTTAGAATAGAACGTGTTATGTCAATTTTTATTTTTGAATGCGCATTTTTGACCCTATTAACCAAATGCATGACGTAATACTGATCGAAATGCATCGTAATTGTTATTTTTTTAAATAGTAACCCCAAAAAATTATCGAGTGTTTTTATTCGGATTTTAATTCAATTTAACAGTGTAAATAAATTTACCTATGACCACTATGGAATGGCGACAAAATCGCACGATCTACAGGTATTGTTACCAGATGAAATCTTCTCCATCCAGGTTCATAAAAAAATCTGGACGTTATAAAATTTCTTTTGAAAAAGTAAGAAATGTGATATTTTTCACATTATTTACTGAATAACTTATGGTTTTACTAATTTCATATTACTAATAAAAAAAAAAAAAAAAAATGACAGCACCTGCTTTTTTGTTGGTGTTGCGGGTTGTTGTTGTTGTGTTATCTAATTTTTTTTGCCACATAAAACTACCAATATACCAAATTTCAGCAAAATCGCATATGTCGTTTTAAATTTATATGGGAAAACGATTTAAAAATTGTAACTTCAAGGCCCTCTGGAGCCCAAACGAAGCAACTTTGTACTAAGGTAATTTTACTTAAATCGACTTATTTTGATCTAAGGAATATGTGGTATGTTTTTGTAAAGACCTTTTAATTAATTATAATCATACATTATAAAAAAAAAACTTGAAACCTTGTTTTTAAATAAACTATTAAATCTTTTATCAGGAGCATTTTGAGATAATACCTATGAGGTTAAATAAAAAACAAGTTTCATATTCCATAATATAATAAATCAAGCACATTACATATTTATGAAAATATTACATAAAAGTTTCAATTTCAATAAAAAAGATACAAAAACTCACTAAATTTTATTGTCACCTCTGATGGTCAAACCTATGACCTATAATTTAGTGATAAAATGGAGGGAATTTCTAGTAAAATCTAGTGCATGTCTTTGATAAGTATTTTTTCTACACCCACATCATTATTAGCCTATCTGCGTACATATTACAAATCGAAAAAGGATGCTATTGCGTTCAACTGAACGAATATATTTCATATCCATTCTAGGTAGTGAGAACACTGCAAAACAAATCCACCAATCACAGTTCATATTTTAGACGCCTAACTACATTATTTTTTAAATTTTAAATAAGTGACAATTCTGTCAAACTAATTGTCAGTATATTTTAAAATTAGTTATTGTCTTAACCTAAAATATTTTTTTTAATTTGTAGTTTTTCGTTAGTGGGTTGTACAAAAAATATACTGCACAACTCGATTGAATTGTCCATATTGCACTCAGATTCAAACTTCGTCTTCGTGCGATACCATCATATCCACTCTTGTTGCACAAACTACTATTTTAACCCCAGAATTTGAAGGCAAGATGTTTGAATACAGTAGTTTATTTACAAAATTATGAAATGAATTTAAATGCCGTCCAAAAAACTATTCACTATAATTTAATGTTTTTAGAAAAATAATTTAGGCACTAATTTAGCATTATATTATGATGAAAATTGTTCATAGTAAAGCTCAAATTTTGCTTTATTTAAAGCTCCTTTAAAAGTTCAGGAAATCTTTTTACTTTTTACAATAACTGTGGTTGATATTTTTGTATGCATTATTTTGCCGCCATTATTGCGGTAATCGCAGCCTTAAACATACATTTTTTGGAACTGTTTACTTTATTTTAATTTGGTGACGTCATCACTAGTTCTTCATCAAAAAAAGAAAAAATAACTCGAAAATATTGTTACGTAACATATCACGAAATTAGGCGTCTCTACGCAAAAAAATATAACTTTTTATGACGTCATCACTATTCGAGATATGACGTTAACAGTTTTTCAAATGGGAATACCCTTTTTTTACGAATAAGTAACGTTTTGTATTTTTTCTTTTTTTTTTAATATGGTCTTGAAAAACAGTATCGAAAATCCGAAGTTGATGCGTTTCGTTCGGCTGCAATTGAGCCGTTCCAACACTTTTGCCGAACCCTGTATTAGTTTTGTATGGCATATTGCTACAGGGTGTTTTTATTTACCCCGTCAGCGCAGCCACTAACTACCAGAACGGAAAGAGAAAAACAGAAAAATAAGACATTTTCAAAAACATTTTTTACAAAACCCTAAGAACAACCTTACTTATATTTCTTAAAGGCACCTTTTTTTCTTTCTGGCCGATTAGTAGCCCTAATCCGGTGTCCCTTACAAAAATGACCCCTCGTTACCTCTTGATTTCCCAAAATATTTCCAATATTACAAAATTGGACGAATAAAAAAACTGCTAAAAACTGAGCTGTATTATTTTATAACGTTACAATATTATCTTCCCCTCATTGCCACGTTCTGTTTATTTCCAGAGATGCTGTAGTGAGATGAGCAACAAAGACGAAACGAAGATATGTGCTGCCTAAAGCAATGGACTCATACGACTTGTTCGGGGAAGATGGTACCGGAATGTTGGAAGGTCTGCCGGACCTGGCCGGAGGCGGCGGAGGCGCTGGCGGTGCCGGTGGTGGAGCGGGTGGCGGTTTCGACCCCACTCCGGTGACTGGCGCACCGCGAAATGCTAGCGCATACCCGGCCCAACAGCAGCAACCCATTTACTCACAAGATACACCCCTTCAGAAATTGGCCACATTCGGTGGTCCGGATTTCAATCACATGGATCCGAACGCTCAGAACATGTATGCCCAAGGGTACGGCACGGATAGGCCCATGGGCCCGCCGCCCGGTTCTGCCTACCAGCAACATCAACGGCAGATGGTAAGGCCTCCGACGGCAACTGCTGCTGCACAGTATCCATACCAGACCGACAATATGTACTCGATGCCCGATGTACAGGTAAGACTTACATTAAACACTGCTCATTGTTTCGTCAGTCTCGTCGGCTAATAAACGAATACAGTAGCTAGACACACAGGATTTTTATTTTTGAAGGGTTTGATCTAGTACAGATCAATTAGCTCGGTAAGAAAGTCTTAGCAGTTCCATTCCGCCACAGATCTCCCTTTAACGCGTGTGTTAGCTGCGAATTCGCGACGAAAATTTCGTGGGGAAATAGAGAATTCAATTCTAAAGCGATAACATTGCCATTAGTCAGAACATGAAGGTTTGTTGCCATGTAAACAGTATTCAGCGAAGTGAATATTCACGGTCGTTGCGTATTTTTCGCGTTGGTCTGGGGGAGCATAAATTGTTTTCAGAAACCGATTTACTATTACAGCATTTTTGTTTTATTTCAAATTAGTAACTTATTTTTACCTTATTAGGTTTGTTCCAACAGCAGTACAGAACCGTTCCGAAATTATCTGCGCATGAGTAGTACGAAAAATAAAACTGTTAAACCGTACTGCTTATGCGCAGCTAAATTTGGAACGGTAGTGTACTGCTGTTGGCAGGGCCGACAAGAGGGGGGGGTAGCCGGGACCAATTCCCAGGGCCCGGGCACAAGTGGGGGGCCCGGGCTCAAGTGAAGACCCGGCAATTTTGATGAGGACGTTTGTTACTTCGGAAGTTCGGCACAAGAGGGGGGAAGTTTTTGCTTAGAGACCTTCCCTTTTTTTTTAGAGATTCAGTAAAGAAGAGGAGAAGGTTTTGCTTAGAGACCTTTTTTTTAGAGGGGAAGGTTTTGCTGAAGATCTTTTTTTCTATAAAATTGTCGCGGGGCCCGACTTGGAGAATTGTCCCGGGGCCCGACCTGGCTCTCGGCGGCCCTGGCTATTAGAACAAACCTATTACATTCATCTGAAATAACGTTACAAAAATTGTATATAAAAAAATATTGTTTACATTTCTCTTTACAAAATTTAGGTAAGCGGCATGGGCGATTCGAGCAATATGCAAGCAGCAGCTGCAGCTGCTGCTGCAGGTTGGACTCAGCACGCTGCAGCCGCAGCAGCAGGTTACCCCGGAATGCACAGATATAGCCAGATGAGCCAATATCGACAACAAACTATGTCCGGTTATCCTCATCAACAAGAACCGAAGCAACAATTTTCTACGGCGCAGCACCCTATGATGCAACAACCGCATCAAGCCTCCTATCAAATGCAACAAAGGCACGCTGCGCACTATCCTCAAGCGGCTTCCGGATATCCCACGGCAGCGTCGAGTCAAAGCTACGCAAATTACATGCATCAGCGATTACCTCACCACCACCAGTACCCACAACCACATCATCAAATGGATATGGCTGCCGTCTCGCAGACGCAACAGTACGCCCAAATGAGTCATAATCAAAGCTTGTCTCATGGCACTCCTACCGGTGGACACATGGGACAAACGCCACACTCAGTTGGCCATACACCTGGTCACACTCCTGGACTTACACCTGGTCTCACATCAGGCCATACTCCAAGTCACACACCAGGCCACACTCCTGGTCACACACCCGGCCACACTCCTGGTCACACACCAGGCCACACTCCTGGTCACACACCGGGCCATACTCCTGGTCACACACCGGGCCTTACGCCTGGCCATGCTCCTGGCCACGCCCCTAGCCATGCTCCTACGCAGAATCATACCACTCCTCAACAACCTCAGCCGCCAAACCCTATGGCACATCCTAGTAATATTGGATATAACCAAAGTCACCAGAGTTTGCAATCTATGCAGCGACAGATGGAAGTACCTTCTAACCAGCAGCAATTTCAGACAAAGCATTCTAGTGGACCAATGGGTAATGTCAGCCCGCAATATAGGGCGCCGTTCCCTCAACTATCTCCGCAAATGTCACCTAGGTCCCAAATGTCGCCAAGACCTACACAGACTTCTCAGATGTCGCCGAGACCAAATATGTCTCCAGCTAAACCTAATATGTCTCCGCATCCATCTCCTATGCAACAAAGTACGTTAAGTCCAAGACCTACACCGAGTATACCACCCAAGGTTTCGACCGCTTCTCCAGCACCGATACCACCTTATTCGCAACAGAGTACTTTACAAGCTTTGGAACAGATGGTCATGCCACCTTCTAGCACAAATGCGACCGAATATCCATCTTACCAATCAAGAAGTTCGCTAGGACCGCCGCAAGGTCCGCAGAATCCTTTGAGTCCCGCAATGGGAATGAGAAACCCGATGAGTGAGCAGCAATGGCCGCTGGTGCAGGCCAGGCAAGTGTCACATTTGTCTAGTTTAAATGGTTCTATGGGTATGATAGATCAAAATCCTATACCGACTAGCCAGACAATACCCCCAACGCAGTCGATACCGCCATCTAGTTTGCCAAATACCCAGATGCCGCCAGCCCCTAGTATAAATGTAGGTTTTGGTAACGAAGAAATGAGAAGTGATATTAGTAATACGAGTAGTACGAATTTATTAGAAATGACAATTAGGGAGAAAGACTCTTCTGTGTCGCAGAGCATTCCTATCAGTAGTCAAATCGAATTTACCTCAGTTCAATCGCCTACTACAAGTATACCAGACAAAATGCCTAGCAGTACCACTAATACAGAAGTTAAAGTCCCCACATCAATGCCCACAATGTCATCTCATCCGCCGACTCCGACACCCACATCAACTACTGACGATAATATAACCAACACACAAGAGACTAGTCTTCCTTCAAATAGCGAATCTGTGAAACAGATCGATGAATTAAGCAACACTAGTTCAACTTCACAGCAACAGACTCCAAGTCAGAGTAGTCAGAACAACTTCACAGATTTTAACTGCGTGTCTAGCATGACAGGTTATCCTAGTCAACCTGGTACTCCGAAAAGTAATAAAATGGATGATTTGGTGCAATCAAACGCCTCGATATTTAGTCAAGATAACTCAGTATCTCAAGAATCTTTACCAGAATCTAATAAGTCTGATCGCAGTTCGACGCATTCTCCAAGATTACAGTCGCCCACCTCAAATAGTCAAGGTTCGATGCCTTTACCATCTAATGCGACACTTAATCAAAGAGATAGCCGAGCGCCTTTTAGTATAAATTATGCCTCTACTCCGTCGCCTACTCAGTCGCATTCATTAGTACAAAGTACAAATAGAACATCGCCTAGTCCTATAGGCCAACATATTCAGTCCAATCAAATGATGACGACTTCAGCACAAATGCTCCCAAAAATAACACAGCATCTTAGCAACATTCAACACCAGAGTCAACAACATTCACCTTTGAGCGTGTCTCAAAATCAAAACAGTATGCATGAACAGACCTTATCCAGTAACAGCATGTCTAGTCCGCCTCCTGCTTCAATGCAAAGCAGTATACCGAATGTACCTATTATACATAGTCAAAATAGTATGCCTTGCACTCCAACTATTTTGAATACACCTAATACAACAAGTCCTGTTTCGTCACAAAGTAGTAATATAATTCCACAAATTTCTGAATCGATCACCGTCTCCGCTCAAAATCCAACAAGTTTACACAATCAGACACAACAAAATGTTTCCAACTTGTTAAATCAGAGTACTCAAAACATGGGATCCCAACCTCCAGTTTCAGTTCCCAGTCAAAATACTTCATCATTAATTGGTGTTCAAAGCAATGCTCTATCTGGTCAAAGTAATATAGCAACACCAGCTGTAATAGCTGTCCAAAAAAATATACCTTCTCTGTCTGGTCAAAATACTTTGCCCTCTATACCTAATTTGGCAATTATGCCTAGTCAACCTCCAATACAAGATATTCAATCTCCACCGCCCATGCCTCAGTCAAATATTCCTCTGATGCCATCACAAAATCTTCAAATTCCAAACGTCCAAACTCCTCCACAAACGTCGTTAACCCAGCTTGGTCAGATTCCTCATCAAATTCAAAATGCGAATATTCCTCCAATTGGAAATGTGCCAAATATACCGTCAAATACTAAAACTGGTATGTTTGATCAAAACAATCAAATGTTGAATCCAAATGGTATGCCAATGAGTAACAATATAGGTATTTCTCCTAGAATAACACCTCATGGTATGCCATTGACGCATCCAGGCATGCCTCTTGGAATGACTGGCCATCCAGGAATGATAGGAAGTATGGGCGGAATGATACCCGGACCAGATATGCCAGGATACCAAACACCGATAAGCCACCATCAAGAACGTGCAGCACTACAACAGCAATTACAAGAGATGTATTGCATGCCTCCTGGACCAGAACATCAAGAGAAAATAACTTTTCTTCAAGATAGATTGAATCTCCTTAGTCAACATGAAGCAACCGATCAGTGCAATGGAGGTGCTCAATGCATACTTCAAACGCCTATGTTCAGTTCGCCAATGATAGATAGTCCGCAAGTATCTAGTACAACAGGTAGAGGTAGAGGAAAAGGTCCACCAAAACCAAGAAAACCTCGTGCGAAAAAAGGAGAAAAAATTACCGAACTTAACCAAGTCGCATCACCTGTTAACACTATAATGCCCGTTATACCTCAACCTCCTCAGCAATTACCAGTGTCTGATGACTTTGTGACACCTGGAGCAGGTCTGAGTATACCTTCCAATGAAATGTCAGAATTTACAGATATTGGAACAGACGCCGAAATTGAAAAGAAAAAGAAAGGAAGAAAACCCCGCGGTGCTAAAATAAAAGAGGGTAAAGAAATTAAAGAGCCTAAAGCGCCAAAATCTCCAAAGGAACCAAAAACGCCACGAGAAAGAAAGAAACGCGAACCTAAAGATTCACAGGATCCGCCTAGAGTAAAACGAAAATATGTAAGAAAGAAAAAAATAGGCGATTCTGAAGAAAGCGCTACAGATGAATCGTTCAATAAATCGAATGAGAGTAATGAGGAAGTGTCTGCTTCTGTTGCCAATGAACCATCAAAAACTTCTGAGGCAGAAGCCGAAGCAGCAGTCCCTTTCGAATCAAAAACAGAAGATCCCGATTCTCAAGCTTTACCAGAGAGTTCGGTACCATCTACTGAAAAACCAGAAGAAATGCAGGCTGATTCTCAAACACCCGCCGAAGGTAGTGTCTCTAACGAAACCGAAGAAGGTAAAAAAGACGAATATAATTTTGAAGATCAACCAAGTCCGGAGTTGGTTGAACTGCCAAGAAGAAGTAAAAAGGCCAGGGCTGTGCCGGCAAGATCCAAACCGAGTGGCGTTAAAAGGCCCAAGCGTAGTTCGACTGGTGGACGTAGACGTAGAGGAACCATTGTCCCCGAATCTGACGGGGAAAACGAGGATATGATCTCAACACCTCCGCCATCGCCTCCTGACGATGGGGAAAACTCTTTGAAACGCAGATCTGCAAGAAATACGCAACGAAAGAAGTATATTGATGACGTAATGCTTAGGTTTTCAGATGATGATGCACCTCCTACGCCTACTCGAAGTCGGAAGGCTCCTGTGCCATCAACTCCAACTTTGCCAACACCGCAACCACCACCACCACCGAGTAGTCCACCTGAGCCATCAACTCCCTCAGAAGATGGAACTCCCGCATCTACTACAGACACCAAAAATCAGATGAATTATGTATATGTTAATCCCACAGAAGAAGATTCTATGGTGGTCCAATATGTTTTATGTGCTAGAATGACTAAAAGAAAGAGGAAGAAGGGAATACTACCTCCTGAAGAACCTAAAAAAGAACATAAAGATGGCGAAGAAGATACTGAAAAGGAAAAGAAAGAAAAAGATGACGATTCAGACGATGAGGAAGAAGAATTACCTATTGTTATTCCTCCAGAAAAACCTACATCCGACGTAAAAGATGATGAGGAGGATGACGAAATGGAGGAATTAGAAGAATATTATGTAAAATACAGAAACTTCTCATATCTACATTGCGAATGGAAAACCGAAGATGAATTATTTAAAGGCGATAGAAGAATCGCTAATAAGATCAAGAGATTCAAGCAGAAACAAGCACTACAGATGAATATTTTCGAGAATTTGGAGGAAGAACCGTTCAATCCCGATTACGTTGAAGTTGACAGAGTATTAGATCTCTCTGAGCACACTGACACAACTACAGGGGAAATAGTTAGGCACTATTTGGTCAAGTGGCGAGCATTACAATATGAAGACTGTACATGGGAACTCGAGGAAGATGTAGATCCAATAAAAATTCAACAGTATGAAAAATTTAATAAAGTACCACCAAAAGATACGTGGAAACTCAAAAAGAGAGGCACTCCTGAGCAGTGGGCAAAACTAGAAAACTCTCCCGTTTATAAAGGTGGAAATAGTTTAAGGGAATACCAGTTGGAAGGTCTAAACTGGCTCTTTTTCTCTTGGTTTAATACACGAAATTGTATTCTTGCAGATGAAATGGGTTTGGGAAAAACCATTCAAAGTTTGACCTTCTTACATGCGATATGGGAGTGGGGTATAAGAGGACCATTCTTAGTTATTGCTCCCCTATCTACCATCCCCAATTGGCAGAGGGAAATTGAAAGTTGGACGGATATGAACGTAATAGTCTATCATGGATCTGCTACCAGTAGAAACATGTTACAAGAATATGAGATGTATTATAAAAACGACAAAGGGCAGTTTATTAAAGACATAACAAAGTTTAATATTCTGATTACAACTTTTGAAATCATAGTTACAGATGTTGCAGACTTAAAGGGTTTCAACTGGAGAATTTGTGTGATAGATGAAGCACATAGACTGAAAAATAGAAATTGTAAATTGCTGGAAGGTCTAAGACAACTAAATCTTGAACATAGGGTTCTTTTGTCTGGTACACCTTTACAGAATAACGTAAATGAACTATTTTCATTACTAAATTTCTTAGAACCAAGTCAGTTCAACAATAGCGAAATATTTATAAATGAATTTGGTCAATTAAAAACGGAACAAGAAGTTCAGAAATTACAATGCCTGCTCAAACCAATGATGTTAAGACGACTGAAGGAAGATGTAGAGAAATCTCTTGCACCCAAAGAAGAGACGGTTGTAGAAGTGGAATTGACTAATATTCAGAAGAAATATTATAGAGGTATACTGGAGAGGAATTTTTCTTTCTTATCCAAGGGTACTACCCATGCTAATATACCAAATTTGATGAATACTATGATGGAACTCAGAAAATGTTGCATCCATCCATATTTGCTAAATGGTGCTGAAGAACAAATCCAGTACGATTACAAAAACCAGCATGGTGAAGATGTAGATGCTTATTATAAGTCTCTTATCCAATCCAGTGGTAAAATGGTGCTTATCGATAAATTATTGCCAAAACTCAAAGCAAATGGACACAGAGTCTTGATCTTCAGTCAGATGGTTAAATGTCTTGATATCCTAGAAGACTACTTAATGTATAAGAAATATCCATTTGAAAGAATTGATGGAAGAATTAGAGGCAATTTAAGACAGGCAGCTATCGATAGGTTTTCTAGACCAGATTCAGATAGATTCATATTTCTTTTGTGCACCAAAGCAGGAGGTCTTGGTATTAATCTAACGGCAGCAGATACTGTAATAATTTATGATAGTGACTGGAATCCTCAGAATGATTTGCAAGCTCAAGCCAGATGCCATAGAATTGGACAACAGAAGATGGTTAAAATATACAGGTTGTTATGCAGAAATACTTATGAAAGAGAAATGTTTGATAAGGCTTCTCTGAAGCTAGGATTAGATAAAGCCATTCTCCAAAGTATGAACACAGCCCAAGGAGGCAAAGATGCTGGTAATAGAACGCTAAGTAAAAAAGAAATCGAAGATCTTCTCAAGAAAGGTGCTTACGGTGCTCTACTAGATGAGGATGATGGAGACAAGTTTTGCGAAGAAGACATTGATGTTATTCTTGCAAGAAGAACCCAAGTTATAACCATGGAATTAGAAAAAGGTTCTACCTTTTCTAAAGCTAGTTTTGCTTCTAGCGCTAATAGATCTGATATTGCTATTGATGATCCAGATTTCTGGAATAAATGGGCTAAAAAGGCGGAGATAGATACTACAGAAAAAGATGAAAGTGAAGACTTGGTGTTATCAGAACCAAGACGCAGAACACAGATTAAAAGATACGGCCACGATGAGAGTGCTATTGATATGTCGGAGTTAGAAAGCTCCTCAGATTCTGATCCCGATAATGATGGATTAGGAGGTGGTTTAAGAAGCAAGAAGAAATTAAGAAAGAGGAAGTACAGACCTGATGATTATATTCCAAGAGAAGGTGAACCTAGAGGTGATATTGTGTACGGAAGCTGGGCTAGAAGAGAATGTTTTATGGTCGAAAGAGGTCTACTAACTTTCGGATGGGGTAGATGGCAGGAAATTCTTATGCACTCGCAACTGAGAAAAGGTTGGAAGGAATCCGATATAGAGGACTGCGCTAGAGTAATAGTAAGCAAATCTTAAATTTTAAATAGGATGAAATGCTAAGTAATATTTTTTTACAGTTACTTTATTGCTTGAGATTCTACAGGGGTGATGAAAAGATTCGCAGCTTCATATGGGATCTAATAGCGCCGTCTGAAAACGGCGAGCAGACGATATCTAAAAACCACCATGGACTTAAGGATCCAGTGCCTAGAGGTATTAGAAATAAGCACAAGAAGAAGGATAAAGGAATTTTGACTAAGGATTTAAAGCATCCAGCCATCACTGATCCAAATCATTGGAGCAAGAGTGAGAAGTACGATGGAGATATATTCTTGGAGAGTAATTATAAAAAGCATCTCGGAAGACATGCTAATAAGTAAGTTTTTTTTTTAAATATATTGAATTCAGGTTATTTCTAATTAAAAAAATATATATTTCTAGTGATGAATATCATGCTAATTTAGAGAATACGTAGGTATTCAATGAAATCAAACCTATTCTCGAAATGTTCTGATTTTAATATTTAAAAAATACACAATTCCCTTCTAATATAGAAACTGCTTTATTGAATGTTAATTTTTTCAGAGTTTTGCTTCGTGTACGGATGTTGTATTACATAAAACATGAAATTATAGGCGACTTAGTGCAACACATTGCTGATGGGGTGCATGCAAGGTAAGTTCGATTTTCTATTATTTGTTGTTTTTAACTCTTATTAACAAGCATATAATATATATACACATAAATTTACAATAATTTCCATTACCGATAATCGAAGCTGTTTTTCTTGTTGATTTTATTTTGACAAACAAAGGTAAGGTTTCTTTGTAACTCAACAATGGGAGGCAACTTCTCAACCATCACAAAGTTTTAATTATTATCTTAAAAGGTTTTTATTAAATTAATTTGAAATGTGAAAACACTGTTTAGATGTCAAGTTTTGTCCAATTATTCATATGGCACATTTTTAATGTGCCTCTGTAAAAAAAATGCGTTATTGATCATGTATGAATTAATTTATAATGAAATTATTAATCAAAGGAATAACAAAACTCAAAATCAATACCACTTGAATATAATTTGTTATGGTGTGACTAGTTTCGGCTTTAAAGCCAACATCAGACCTGTAATACAAGTAACAATGTTGAATTGTAAAATGCTTTTAACAAATTTTATCTGCTTCAGTCTCGTTATCTTTTATGTCTGATGATGGCTTTAAAGCTGAAACTATTCGTTCTTTAACAAATAAATTCTATTCATGTGGTATTGTTTTCGAATTTCATTATTCCTTTGAATAATGTTACCACCACATTTGAGAAGGTGAATAATCTTTCATTCCTAAATTATTCATATTAATGAGTCTATGGCTCGAATCTCACAAGAGATAGGATTTGTTCTAAATAAGGATCTAATTAATATTAAGGTAGTTTGAAAGACTAACATGAGTTTATTACCATAAATCTGTTTACAAATTCAGATAAGAGACTTGCACTGTACATTAAATAATTTTTTCCTATCTAATTTTTTTGGTGTTTTTTTTTTGTATAAATATAATTTTTATTAATTTGGGATATCAATTAACTTATCTTGGAAGGTTAAAAGTTTACCAGATCTAACTCCATTATACTTTTTCAAAAAAATATACAGTGTTCTACAAAAAAATGTGTACCTTAGCAAAAATATTTTCAATTATTGATTAAAAAAAAAACGTATTTCTGATGAAAGGTAATGCATGGTTAAAACCGAAAATACAATAGTCAAAGATCAAAACCAGTCATACAGTGTGCATAGTACAGTATGGAATAAATTCATTTTCAGCCTAAGTATCCATTTTTGAGGAAATTCTCACAACAGATCGATTGTTAATTTCAATTTGCTACATTTTGGGCAAAAAGTTACATGTACGGAACATGTGAGTAATGTCGTCAGGACAAATTTTTAGTGGGGCACCTGCTATATTATTCAATTTTTGGAATATATCACACATAGGGTATGTACACAATACAGCTTGCTTTTGTATCATTGTGAATACATTGGTTAAACATTTAAGGAATAACTTTTGGGGAAAATGCTCAAAGCCATCCAATTTTATTTTCATTTGGGCATTTTTTCAAATGAAATTAGGACACGTGAAGAAGGAATGACGTCATCGATATATTTTTAATGGCTACCCTATTTTTCATTACGGACGTACTGTGTATGTGTATATTTTTGAATCCAACTGTCTATGACAGTTCCAAAAATTAATTAATATAGTCTGGCTATTGTACGCTTTCCAATACAATACGCTTTGCTAATGTCAAAGAGTTATCATTAGGACGAGCAGGAAACGAATAATATCAACGTTGCCAGTTTAAACGGCCCAGCTAAAAATGAATGTATTCCTTATTTTACGAACACACTGTATGAAGAGTACCTTAAAAAACAAATTTAACTCAAGAGTAAAATAAATTGTTATTACATTCAAATTCGAAGTTACGATCGTTTTTCTTAAAAAACTATGTTTTGTCATTTTTCCATAATTTTTAATTCCAACAAATAATCTTGTCGGTATTTTATTATTAATAAATTAATTTTAATTTTTTTGAAGAACCAGTGATAAAGTTTTCCTTTTGAACTTTTTGTCAAACACTGTATAATATTAACACATTACATGTAGTAATTATTCAGTAAGTCAAACGAATAAAAATATGTAAGTTGGTTGCATATGGAAAACTTATTAATTATACAAAAAAAAAAAAAGTTATACTTCATTAAAAGTTCTATGAGATCTGCCGAAAAATATGAATATCCATTTTAAGTTTAAAATTAATTTTTGACAATATCAAAAATTGTTTTAAAGAACAGTTGATTAGAATTGAAAACTACATTCTAATATGCAATTAGATCCATTTACCATTATAAATCATATATCATTGTTTTACACATTTCTCTCAACAAAAATCTTGAAAAAATTTAAAATAGAATAAAATTTTTGAAGCCATGTCCCATAAAATAATACGAGCGACCGTTTCCTGCCTGAAAACAACTACTTATTTGACTAATATCGCAACAGAAATTGAATTATAACCAAAGAAAAACAGCAGGGAAATAAAATTATTTTCAACACAAAATGAAAGTTCTCTGCATTTAAATGCCTATTGCGGTAGTAGCTAAAAGAGTAATTGTTTTGTATATTGTGACACAATGATTTTTCTTTATTTTACGTTTTGGTCACATTTGATTTGTAATTATTTCCCTTTTTGAAAGTTTTTCTATACACATTGATATTAAATCTAGGATGCATATTGATTGATAGTGTGACATGTTTGTTATTAAACTTTGTTTTTTGGGTTTTAGACCATGTATGAATTTTTTATGAAGAACAACTTTTTTTCTTAAAGTTAATAAATTGAAGTAGACACCAGATATTCGGATTTAAGTAAATTATTTATAAGAATAAAATGATGTGATAAGATTTTAGTGTCAAAAATTTCCCTTTATTTGTATATTATTTAAAATGAGAAGTAGCCTCCTATTATTTTGACCTTAAATCGTTTTTTAAATCGTTGGGAGCCCCGCTTTTTGACTTTTTTTTAACAGTTACATGCATGATTCTGCTTCGAAGTCATGCTAGTTGCTTAGTTGAATTGCCGATTACCGATTAAAATTTTTTTACATTGGTTACTGTTTTTAAAACACATCGTCTGACTCTTTCGACATGCGACACTGCCCTCTAACCACGCGGGTTTTTTTTGCACGTAACTTATTGTGTTATAACTTTTGTTTATTTATCTATTTGATGCATTGTTTGTGTCGAAACGAGTGAGGTTATGTTTGTACTTTTACATTTCACATTGTCACAGCTTCATTGCTTATTTTTAACCATACATTTTGTTATTAACACTAATTAAAAATCCAATGAATTGGTTCCCAACCCCAAAACACTGAGAAGTGACGGTACGGCACTTGATACCAAATTCTTCTTTAGAAAAAAAAAAAAAATAAATAAATAAACCTGGAAAAATAATGCTGCTAGTCTGAAGAAAGCATTATTTTTAGTTTCTTAAAAGGACTCTTGAAGGATCTTCGCATCTTCTTTCAGTTCACTTAGCTCTAAAAATAAAATATTTTTAATGATTAACTGAATTTCTTAACTTTAGTTATGTATTTTAAAATCGGCCTGTTGGTAATATTTGGGGTTTAGATACGTTGATATTAAAAAATACGCTCTACATATTTTAAAAAACTGTTGAGCCTACTCAAAACCTCCTGCGTCTTGTGGTAAGTCAATTATATGTCTTTAATTAAAAAAAAAAAAAAAAAAAAAAAAAACGGAGGTTCTGAGTTTGCTCAGCATGTATAGCTTTCGAAGCAGATTGATGCATTTTTAGTTTTTTTTTTAGCTTGAAATTAGTAGTTTTATGTTTAGAAACACGTCCATGTATTAGATAAAAATGTTAAAATTAAAATATTACTTTCGCAAAATTTATTAAATTATTTTTAATTTGATTTTTCGATTAAGGATAATAATTATTGTAACTGTAAATTATTTTATTTTTTGTAAAATAATAAGATGCCAAGGTCAAGGGAGTCCTAAAAACTCCGGTCACCTAAGATGCACTAATTTGTAGGATTTCAGTATTTGTTTGTATCTTTTTCGTTTCATTGACTGAGTTAGGAGGTTTAAATTGGCTTGAGTCATTTTATTTTTATTTGGTAATCGTTTCATGCTTATCATAGTTAAAAAAATATAGTTTTTTTATATTTGACAAACAAATTTGGCAACATTTGTTAAATTATATGAAATTTTTGGAGACATCTAGAAATGTATGCATATACAAAACAGCGATGGCATATAAAAAAAATATCAATTAGAATATGATTTTCTATAAAAAAAAAAAACATTTTTCTTCTACTTAAACATTCTCAATTTTAAATACCTTTTAGAACAATTTTTTTTTCTCAAGTAATAGAATATAATTTGGAATAGATCGACATGTAGCCAAATCAGTTGTTACACATATGAATCGCGTATTTAAACTAAAATTATATTTTTACTATTTAAATTTAATTTTTTTTTACTGTGATCTAACATGATATAAAAACCAGTGATTATTAAATTAATATTGAATTAATCTATGTTAAATTAAAGTATAAATAAACTCATTGAGTGATCGCATCCAATAATTATCAAACACAAAAAAAAATTGATTTTAAAAAGTGTACAAATGTAATAGGATTAGGATGTGTCAAAAACCTAAAATGTTTCTTTTACAAAAAAGTATCCGATCCTTGCTATCAAAAATTTAATTATTTATTAAATACTTTTAGCAGAATTCAAATATCTGTCAAAACTACACGTTTTCCTTTTTTAGATTGTTTTAAACGAACTATTCTATCTCTCTTGATAATTTTATGATGCCTACTTCAAAAGGTGTACTTTGTATAAAGCTATTCTGTAATAACCTTCCTGTTTTATTTGATATTTTTTTATTGCGGTGCCCAATTCATGTACAGCTATTAATTTTTAAATTATTCAAATAATATTAATAATCAGTTCATAAATAATATTCGCTTACACCTGCCATTTACAGATTCTGATTATTTGTAAACAGAATTGTTCGTCTTAGATATATTATTTCTATTTCACCTCTTATATGGTTATTAAGGATCACGTATTAGATCTCAAATAATTCCTCTTTACTGTGTATGCCTCCCTCACATTCTCTCAAATCTATTTTGTGGCTGTTCTATATAAACTAGACACTTACAGTTGAATATATGAAAAAGGTCTTAATTTTTCACTCTTCCATTTCACTATTTTAACAACTTACAACTTATAAGTACATCCTTTGGTTTTGACACATAAAAACATTACATTGTATGGCTTTTTCTTATTTTTTATTATAATTATCTGCGTTTGATTTGCACATTGTCTACAGTTAATGATTTTTTATAATTAATTCAATACACTATTACATTTTGTATTAATTAACAAATTTAATTATCATAGTTCAATATTTTATGTTAATGCCAAAAATTGAAAGGCAGTTTATTGTGTGAAATCATGGAATCATGGAACAATTGTGAAATTACAAATTTAAGTTTCAAACAAGCGACATTTAAGTTAGTTGGACTAAATGCTAGTCATTTTGTTTTAGGTATTTGTTAACTGAATAAGAAAAATTTGCTAAATAAATTGGCTCATTTATGATTTCTATTTCAGTAAAATTAAATTAATATTACATAGCAAAATTTATGTCATAGTTTCTATTCAAGAGTTAGAGATGGTAAAGGACAAGAAGCTCCGACAAAATTGGAAAATAATTGAATAAGAGAAGTAGCATTCATTATAATCTCATCGCAGAATTTGCTAATACGTTTTGAGATTTCATTAAAATAAATTGAAAATTAAAAATATTTATTTAACTTGGTGACAATAAGATTAATTCTAAAAGTAAGAAGTTAAAATATTAAAATTGTATTTTACGGCTTCAATTTTTTATTTTTTTTTTTTATTTTTATTACACTAAAGGTACGTGTGTACTAGCAAGAAACTTGCGACATTTATTGTCCAATAATCGCATGACTGTTACATTTTCGCAATTTGTCTCACAAATTATTGCGTGGCAAGTAGTTGCGAAAGAAATCTCGGATAATATTGCAGAAAATTTGTCATGTGTTTTTGCAAAATTAGTAAAATGTTACATGCCGACTGGTAATTGTCAGCCCAAAAAAGGAGAACTGCTGCTACATTACCGGTGTTACTTTTGTTGAAAAAGCAAAAAAAAAAATAGAATTTGGACAAGAGAATAAATATTAAGAATATGTGATCTTGGTTTCACGAGACATTGTTGTATGAATTGTAAACCTAAGAGCCAAATCAAATTGATTTTTTTTTGACGATGTCAAGAATATTTCAGCTAACTTTTGGAACCAAGCATTATTAAAAGAGATACACAAATGCATAGTGAGAAGCCACTACTGTTTACAGGAGAAAGCGTTCACTTGCTGAGATCAATATCGCAATAAACACCTAACTGGTGGAATTTGATTTCCAGAGTGTTTACACATGCACTGACATCTACTCTTGTAATAAGTGTTGCAAGTTTCTCGCTAGTGTCCACGTACCTTAATAAATAGCCAAATCATAGTGTTAAAAGAAAAAAGTTGTTCAATGAATTTTAATAATCCTGCTCAAACAAGGTTAACATAAGAGATACAGATCAACTTATATATTTTTGACAAATTAAGTTTGAAGAGAATGAAGTTTAATTGCTTGAATAAAGGGATTTTAATGCCCAATTAAATAAACCACAAATGTTTAATCCGTTCTCTATTTAATCCCATAACCCAGTACTTCGCTGGGTTAAGATCAGGCGATCGTGGGGGGACCATGAATTTGTAAATTGTGAGATATCTTGGTCGACATTAAATGCCTTACTTCACTCGACCTGGCAAGATAGATTGTGAATACCTCGAAGAGGCGTTATTACCACCTGTAGCACTAGTTACTTAACCTGGTTTCAAACCAGCATTCTAGAATTACTTAAGAAATGTAGCTGCATCAGGGCAAAAGCTATCCCAGCTATCCAGTTAGTTAATATAAAGAAATTCAGTGATTTGGTTACCTGTCACTAAGTTGTTTTCCAGAAGGTGGATCTCTTATTATTTATAGACCTCTTCCATTATAGAAATTTGACGGGCTTTAGGCCTTGAATTTACAAATGTCTGCTTACATATGACCTTAAAAAACATGATTTAATGTTGACACAAAATCCCATTTTTTGAGCAAATGTATCTCATTTGGTTTTGTTGTTGGCTATACACAGGGTAATCCAGTTTATATCGTCAGGATTTTACCAGTCGATAGTTTACTGAAAAATAAAAGTGTTTGTTTAATAAAATATGATCCAATTTTGTTTCCTTTTTAATAATATTCAAAAAAGGCTTTGACCGATTTTGTTGACAACTCAAGTGTCTTTCGGACATGTTACAGTTGATCCAGTAATTTCAGAGACATGCTCACATGGCACTTTGATTAGTTTTCGGCGAAACATTTTTAAATTTTTCATAATTTTTTTTAAACAAACTAAAAATACTACTTTTTGGTATCTTAAATTTTTTTCGTATCTTTGTTTAAAACTAACAGTTTTGCAAGTCTCTGATTACCAGAACACCCCTAGTATATTGGACAAAGTACTTTTATTTTTGGATAAATTATCAGCTTGTAAAATCCTGACGATATAAAATGGATCTTAAAAAACCCAAATTCTAGATAGAACCAATTTTATGTCAATTTGATTTAAATTACTTTATCCAAAAATTATTGCTAAGGGAACTAGAGCTCTTTAAAGATGGCATGTTAGGTTAGGTTAAAAATGAGTGGAATGATCTCATCGCCTTTCACTGCGACCCAGATGGATCCATTGAGGCTCGTTACTAACTTATAGCTCACCGTACAAGCCGCCCCTTTTGATGAAGACCATGATCGAATTGGGTGAGACTTTTTTAAAGTCTGTAGACTCCAGTCGACCGAATCCGAAGATTTGGAACTTGCTTCTTTCCAAAGCGGACCAGGTACATAAAATGTGTACACCCTAATTCTAATGTCTTTTCAACGAGGTACTTGATATAAGGTGATTTAAGTCAAATTGATAGAAAATGTGTTCTAGAATTTGTAGTTTTCTTTTGCGAAGAGAGTTTATAATATATTATAAGGAAAAGAGAATGAAAACATTACCCTCTCTATTATAATAAATAAGTGACTAATTCTCATGTATAAATCGAATATGTTTTTAACCATCTGTTAGGTTTTGTGATATCATAGAAACGAAAAATGAACTTAATGAAATAAATCGAATAGTGCTCTTAGTTGACTGGTATGACAAGAAAAGATTTGAACTAGCTAAAAAATTAAAAGAAATCAAAATTTACAATTGGCATATGACGTAATCCACAGTGCCCTGCCGATATATCCTCCTGTAACGGAGCAATTACCTTGCGTGTGGTGGGATGGTGAATGCGACAAGTCTCTGCTCATTGGCACTTGGAAGCACGGCTATGAAAATTATACGGAGATGCGTGCTGACCCCACCCTATGCTTCCTGTCTCGTTGCGGTCCGCCCTCCGATAGGGACCTCCAGATGGCTACGAATAACGCGTTACCCCCAACGCCCGCACTGTAAGTAGTCCTCTCTCTCTCTCAGTCTCTCTTTGCCTCTATCACTCACTCAGATCCTCTTTAGTTAGAGTCAGGCTTTTTTTCGAAGGCAGGTCACACAAACTGGCGTGATGCGTTGAAATTTGGTGGCATGACGATTTCATGTTATCGCGTTTCGTTACGAGTCTACCGGCAAATTACATCATTCGGTCATTCTCGTATTGTTTTGTAATTAAATATTTTTAAGTTTCAGTTCTACTAACTATTGCTGAACAGAAGAAGGAATTATAGTGGGATTCTGATTTAATACAACGCACTTCTTACAGATTTTTTTATTTCTAATAAAAATGCTGCTCTTGAGATAATAGGAATTAACCATTTTTTTTATATGTTGCATCTTATAGAAGGCCGGTTGCAGGAACGAACGTTAAAACTTATATGCCTGATTAACTTTGGCAGATGTTTGAACTGAGAAATTTGAAGTTCATTTCACCCAGATAGACCACAATCACAAGGTCTGTCAAAGTTTATCATATTATAAATTTCAATAAACATTTGTGCAAGACTGCTTAATAGACTAGTGCTATGTTAATATCGCATTTATTTATGAACAATTTGGATCAAATTTGGGACAATCATAGTAGACATACTTTTGAATTGACACTAACTTCATGTTTTACCGAAAATGCTATTAAGTTTTATTTAATATACTCTGCATATTTTATGTATGAGGAAATTACATGTTATAATGGCTCATATACACGATCAGCCATGAAGTGCCATTCCATAGTGAAATGGAAATCGATGACGAGTTGGTTATAGCTATACGTGTGTCTTTTTATCCAACTGTTGCAGCAACGTTAGCATCGGTGCGGTATCTACCTGTCTTTTTTTTCATCAATCTATCAATGATGAACTAACAGCGCTGTCTTTTTATCCAACGTTGATGCAATCGATGCAACACCAGTCCATCAGTTTCAATGTATGGTTTTTACGATTAGATGTGACAACTGACAGCTGTATTGCGGGAATTAATCAGAATTAAGGAGTTAATTAATTATTTAATTGTTATTTGTGGAAAAAAACCGAAAAAAATGAACTTTAAAAAATATATTCGTCCAAATTAAAGTACCTAGATACATTGAAATAAAATTATAAACACAAATTTTATTCCAAAATGTCAATTATTTATTTCAACGGTCAATCATAAATAAATCGAATCCAACACAAGGCGTTCAAGGTCGCATCGGTGAAACAACGATTCCAACAAACCGGTGGAAAAAAAGATACGTTATTGCTATTTATATGATTTGTGAATACAATCGTCACATAAACAATGTCAATAACAAAATTATGAAAAATAAAAGAGTGAAATAAGATGGTGGGGTACTGGCTATTCATTGTATTCTTTGTGATTTTTAAATTTAGGGTCTCAAAACGTTGGCTCACCCTAATAGTTTTATAAATTCAAATGTTTGATCGCACCAAATGGAGTAGTCACTTGCTGTAGTGAACTAAATTGTGATTTGATTTTGGATATAAAAGGTTTTCTGATTCGAGATTTGTTGCCTGAATGTGTAAATTTTAACAGCCCTTTTTTTTTTTTATGGCAGAATTTACGAAAGAACACGTTTTGCATACTACTATTGTGAGATCTTTTGAGTGTCAAAAAATATATTGGGACTCGTTAAAAGAAATCTTGGACAATTTTAATTCCCATTAGTAAATGTGAGTAGCAATGTATAATATTTGTGTTTTGTTCTAATTACACGTTTTTAACCAATGTTTATATTATTACAAAGCTTTTAATATATAGGCTAAATATTAATGTAATTTCTGTTGCTTTGACTAAAGATCTAATTACAAGAGTATCATGTTAAACTGCTTTTTAATTTGCTGATTTTTCCAAGATATCTTCTTTAATTTCAATGTTACTCTTCTTTATTTTCATTGTTACTCTTCTTTATTTTCAATGTTACTCTTCTTTATTTTCAATATTAACCTTAAGGGCAAACCGAACCTCTCGCGAAAACAAAAATAAGATTTTCTGATAAAGGGTGTCTCAGAAATATTTTCGTTTATTAATCCGTTCGCTGGCGCAATAGGCACATTCCCGAGAAAAAAGGTAGTTGGCAAACGGTGGTCTACAGTGTTAAGATTTAGTTGCAATGGAGAAATTTACGGGGCTGCAATGTGCTTTTTGTATTTGTGTCTTTTATAAAATCAATGATTCTTATATTGTACGTCGTTTGTACAGAAATCATTATAACATAGCAAGAATAAAAGATATCCCAAGTGCAAATTTAATTTCCAGTAGTCTCAAAACTTTCTTAACCAATATTTGCAGTTGGGACATAATTCATTCTTGCTATGTTATAATGATTTCTCTACAAATGACGAACAATAACATAAGAATCATTGTTTTTATAAAACGCACGAATAAAGCACGTTGTTGTCCCGTAAATCGCTCCATTGTGTCTAATGCGCCAGTGGACATATTGATAAACAAAAATATTTTTGAGCCACCCTTTATAAAATGGTATTTATATGCGTGCCGCTGGGAATACTTTGTGATATTATGTGTCTTGACAATATTGAGAGCTTTAAATTTGTGCAACGATAAGGCAGCACTCTACAGAGACGGAAAAAAGGTGGGAAATCCTCCCATTTAAAAACTACTAGATATTAAAACAAAAACAGGTTTACAAATAATTCAAGGTTTCTCAACCCCAAGTTTTGTTATTATTGGTATTTCCTGAAAATCTCACAAAAATTGTACTAAAAATAAAGGCTCAGAAGGAATTATAAATTTTCAAGGTGTCCCTTTGCTTGAAATACTAAATGTTCAATGTTTGTACATGCCTTTATAAATAAATTATAATCAAGTTCTGCACTTTTTGCTTGATTATTATTTATTTCTGTACAAAACCAGACAAAAAATATTTGCGAAAACTAAAAGTATTTGTTTTCAATAGTATGACATATGATAGTAATATCTGACATCGTTGCCATGGTAACGTGTTTTGTGTAGAACAAAAACTATTTTACCAATACAGTTAGTTAGAAATAAATCTACGTAAAATATACTGGGTGACCTATAAAAAAAATCAAACTTTGCCTTTCCGGTAAGAACGGAAGTATTTAATAATTATAAGTGAATTCAAAATTATGTCTAGTTTGTTTGTCCTAAATTTCATAAATAAAAGAGATATTACTATGACCTTAGTCTCATTGTCACCCCATATACTTTTTTAATATTTTTTACAGGTTAAGAAAACAAATTTCTAAACCATTACGGGTGAGGATAATAAAGAACGGTAACGATGCGCTAAGATAGTTGGAAACGAGTTTTTAAATGTTACTCTTTATTTGCCTAACGCGGTATTTGTTACGCTTTGTAACCCTGATTTACAGAAGTTTTTCTTCTGAGTCTGTACATAACCTTAAAACGATCTTTAAAAGATAACAAAAATTCAATTTTTTTTAAATATATGTATTTGAAAGGTTAGGTTGAAAATGAGTAGGATGATTTCATCGCCTTCCACTGCGATCCAGATGGATCTATTGTGTCTAATGTCTAACTTATAGTTCACTATACAAGCCACACCTTTTGATTAAGGCCATGGTTGAATTGGGTGAGACTTGTTTAAAGTCGGTAGTCTCCAGACGGGTGAATCCGAAGATCTGGAACCTAGTTCTTTCCAAAGCGGAGCAGGTACATAAAATGTGCTTTGTATATAAGTTAGCCCTGGGGTATCTCTCCATTTCGTGAATGTTGCAACATCGGTCCATTTTGAGATAATTCCTTTGACAGTAGTGCTCTTTGCAATGCCCAGGAATAGTTCTGGTCCTATAAACTCACATTCGGTTCCTCTTTTAGCGAGCGCTGTGTACCGGAACCCAGATCAAAGTAATTTTGTTTCGGGCACAGAGACACTCAAGGGTATTTAGATATGTTAGATTTCAGAAACTTAGATAGTTTTCACCCTTTTAGGTTTGCAAGTTTTACTTAACTTTTCGTTAACTGCAATTTCTACTCAAAGTCACATCGACTCCTCATTAACCGCTAGTTTTACTTTTAACTTCTCGATAACTAGTTTTCTGGAACATATATATCAACTCTGTGATTTGGGATTAGATAGATCGATATAAATCACTTGATAACTTCACGACAGCGGCCAGTGACCGATTTTTGTACTTGTATTGTATACCTGGATGATCCTGAAAGAAAAACCACAGTTACCAGTTAATTAATCAAATAAGGAATACTCAGGGCTGCCTGGCTATCCGAAAATCTTCATAGTCTTGTCTTGTTTGCGGGGAGAAAATTAATCAACTCTCTCGCTTTCAATTTTATAGCTATAGCTATCATTTCTGATTTGAAGATCGTGGCCAGAGAGTTAAGGTTTATGACATGTCAACTCTTGGCTTCTGATCAAAAACTCCCGGTCCTACTCCTTTTTCAGTTTTGGAGCTGTCCGTGTACAGCGCACAGTTCACCTGGAAGAGGGTTTGATCCCCCTGCTCCATACGTCTCTCTGAAATGAGGACGCTGTATGGCTTTTCTGTGTTGTCGGGGAACTAGCGAGTCTGAGACTATGCCGAGGATGTGGTGGTTATTAATCTCGCTCATCTGCCCCGTCTTGTCCCATCGCAGATCTTCATTGCATTAACTACCCACCTTTAAGAATCTATAGGAGACCATTCTGGCCTCCCTTTCCAGCAAAATGTGGAGAGGGATTAGGTCTAGCATGGTCTCCATATGGATCTCGTCGGTATGGTTGACATTGCCCCAATGATGGCGAAGGCACGCAAGTCGCTGGATTCCAGTCTACTTTGCTGTAGCCGTCCGTTGAAGTTCCTTGTCCCACCAGAGCCGATGGATCGATACTAAACCATTGGTTTTACCACTGTTTAGATCATTTGAGGACTGATCCCCGTGCTTTGTCACATATCCTTTCTAGGGTCCAGAGGGTTAATCTGGCATTGTTGATGGTTTTTTTCCAATTGCGAGTTTCAAG